CTCCTTGAATTCTGAAGGGAAAAAAAAACATAGTTATTTACTCGGGAAAGGTACAGAATTTAAAGTCCCATATTATAGTTGTAATAGCAAATTTGTAATCCAAAGCACATGAATTTAGAACTAGCAGAAGCGACCTTTGAAGCCATCTAGTCAAAGCTTCTAATTTTACAGACAAGGAAACTGAAGTCTATAGAAGTGAAATGACCCACCCAACTGCACACAGGTGGTAAAGCCAGTATTAGAACCAGGTCTTCTAAATATACATGACTCTTCTTTACATAAGACACACACTTCTACAAAACTAGTATAGTCTTTATTTATAAACTTGTTAAGCTTATGAAACAAAACAATGTTTTGGCCTGGTAAAACTACAAATTCTCTGGGCAAATTTAGTATTTCAAGTAACAGAATCTAGAAAGCTATTTAGGCACTTAAAAAAAGTGTGTGTGGGAGAAGTGACAGATGATCATGTCCCAAGGATTTATGAAGAGTCACAGATAAAAGTCGCAGATATTTTCACACAGACTAGTGGCACCACTGCACTACTACAGAGCTTAGTAAGAGTCACAGATTTTTTTTTCCCAATTTTACCAGGCTGTAAATAAGTGTACAACCACAGCTCCTCCTCACCAATGTCTTCCCATCAAATGTTTTGTTATTGCTATTCAGTTGTTTTCAGTCATGTCTGACTCTTCATGACCCCATTTGGGGTTTTCTTGGCAAAGATACTGGGGTGGTTTACCCCTCCTTCTCCGGCTCATTTTACAGATGAGGAAACTGAGGCAAACAGATTTAAGTGACTTGCCCAGGGTTTTATAGCTAGCAAGTGTCTGAGGCTGGATTTGAACTCAGGAAGATGAAGTCTTCCTAACTCTAGACCCAACACTCTATACATTATGCCAACTAGCTGCCCAAATACCACTCTACAAATCAGAATATGTTTGATGACCTTTAAAAAACTTTAAAAAAAAACTTTAACTTTAAAAAAAAGGATGACAAAAAAAACCCAACAGACAGTTTTGAAAAATCTGAAATTATTTCTTTTAGGAGCTCAGGACAATGAGCAAAAGTAAGCAGAAACAAGAGAACAATTTGCACAACGACAACAATGTAAAGGAAAACACTGAAAGACATCAGAACTGTGTTGGCTGCAGATCAATCTTGACTTTAGAGGGACAGTGAAACATAGTTCTCTCCTCTTGACTGGGATGCAGTAGACTACAAGCGTAGAACAAGGTACAAGTTGTCAGATATGTTCAATGTGTTGATTTATTTTGCTTGGGTGGCACAGTGGATAGAGTGCATGGCCTGGAGTAAGGAAGACTCATCTTTCTGAGTTTAAACCTGGCCTCAGGCACTCACTGCGTCTGCCTTACTGGTCCGTCCTTACTAGCCCTGTTTGCCTCCATTTCCTCATCTGTAAAATGAGCTGAAGAAGGGAATGGCAAACCACTCCAGTATCTCTGCCAAGAAAACCCCAGATGGGGTCACAGAGAGTTGGACATGAACGAAAATGACTAAACAACAACTTCCTTGTGGCAAAAAGAAGAGTCACTGGGAAAAACTAGCAATACAAAAAAATAAAAGTATATAAAACATTTACTTTTAAAATAAGGGGACATTAGGGCAGCTAGGTGGTGTAGTGGATAGAGCACTGGCCCTGGAGTCAGGAGGACCTGAGTTCAAATCCGGCCTCAGACACATAACACTCACTAGCTGTGTAACTCTGGACAAGTCACTTAATCCCAATTGCCTCACCAAAAAATAAAATAAAATAAGGGGCAGTATAGTAATTAAAGTATTATTGTTCTATTTTTTTGGGCAAAAAGCTGAGCAATTAACAAACCAGACCAAAGCATAAGGAAGTAGCATGAGCTTTTATTTTCTTTTTATTGCCCGATGAAATTTAATTGATAAAAAATATAAATGTATACTAGCATAATCTGCAGATGTTCTATTTATGAGAAACATATATCCTATACACTCTGAATTTGTTTGATTGTGAAATGAAATGAAACATGTCAGAAAGTAAATTATGAGGGGAAATTATTTGGAATCTCAAAAGAAGCCCCAACAAACCCTCTTTTGAGACTAATTTCTTCACTTAGTCAATGGGTCGGTTAAAAGTGTGGTAAGGAAAATGAAGAAGAAAATCTGGAGGTGGAATAAATATTACAGAAAAAGCCTGTAGCATCTAACATATAATAAAAGCATTTGAGATATTAAATACAAAGATGGGAAAAACAAATTATTTATACAAAGATTCAAGGAAAATGTTTATGCCCTGCTAGTAAAATGTCAGCAATAAACAAGATTCAGGACATAGGGATATTTCTCCAGAGGTAACACAAAATACACAAACATTAACAAATTATGCTTGATGTTGATCACAAAATCACATTAAAGATATTGGTATAGGGAACCCCCACTACAAATGTAGATCAGCACCTGCTCTGAAATTTGACATCTTAAAGAGTTGCCGAGGCCACTGACTGGATAAGTGACTTGTCCAGGGCTATAGCCAGAGATGTCAAAGGTGAGACTCAAATCAAAGTCTTCCTGATTCTACCTGCCTCTCTATCCACTTTGCCATGCTGCCTCTCAATAATCAATTTATCTGTTGACAATTTTAAATAACTTCATATAAAGAAATATTACTATGTTGATACTAAGGCTGAAATGGATCATAGAAATCTTGCTTAAATTCAATATTTGTCAGCAGAGTAAAGCAGAGCCATTACACATTGTTAAGCTTAAGAATGTTTTCTACAAAAGGCATGGAACACGGTATATTTACTATCTCGCTGCAAAATCCACCCAGGTAGAAGAGAATGGGTGATTTCTCTGAAGCCTGAACTGATATCCTGAAACCTAGGTTCAACAGATTACCAGCATACTACTAGAAAAACAATTACATCATGTCTGTGGCCCCATTTCTAACTCCTTTGTTGGGAGAAAAAAATCCATCAGCGCTGGCAGTACTTCTGAAGAAGCAGCAGTAGTCCATAAATACTTCTCCATTTTCTTGTCATTTCAGAATGAAGCGACTTCCAACTCACACATATCCTACCAGGTGCACTAAATTGATGTCATTATGAGCCATCAGGAAATACCCACAGAGACCTATACCAACATTGAGAAGTTTGGTTAAACAGCTGTGTGTGTGTTTTAATTGATTTGTATTATTTAAAATAGGAACAGTTAAAGCCTGTTATCAGATGTTGTATCAAAGAGCCAACTGCAGACCCCAGGGAGAGGGAGTTCAGAAGAAAGTCAATCACTGCAACTTCACTTGAGCACTTAAGATTATTACTAGAGGAAGCACAATTAAATCATCACACTTTATTAGCTATCATTAGAAATCACTATGCAACATATCAAGCTTCATTATTTAAGAATCATTAACAAGTTAACTTCCTGTATTACCAAGAGTAAAAAAGTAACTTATTTGCCAAATGTCACCTCAAAAGCTCATCAAGTAAAGATAAAGGAAAGTTACTGAAATGAATTGCCATGTTTTTGCACACATTAAATATACAAGAAAGATGAAAATAGACCCAGAGTATTCCAGATATACAAAATACATACATCATACAGGGTCCTTTCCTTCCAACATCCACAGATGTCCTACCCAATTCTCATTATTTATTTGGCCCACCCACTTAGGGATCAAAGGTCTAATTGATCCCTTTCTTTACTATTCCTCCAGCTCTTCTATAAATCCAAGTCATCTACCAAGGTCTCTGAGGCTTTCTTTCTATACAACTAATACTGTGTATGCCTGTCACAGTCACCTCTGTGATTTTCCTTATACAATCTTTCAGCATACAAGGGCTGATAAAAGATAGTGTGTACTACGTAAGACACAACCAGGTATGTACCTGTCATAATTAAATTTACATGTGGTTTATACTTAAAGGGCTCAATTTGGAATTGAGATACAGGTCTTTGCTATCACCACAGATGTGATATTAACAGATGTGTTAGAGCAAAAGCTGAAAAGCAGTGTAATATAAGGCAAAATATGTAAGGCAAGTGCACCTTACATTTTGCAAAGAACGTTTTTTTTTTCTGCCAAAAACAAAGTTTATTAAAGATCCGCCATACTGTCAGACCCTGGAGGAACCTAGGAGTCTGCAAGTATTGGCTACATTCTAAGAATCTGAGCAGTGGCTAGATTTTAGGAATCTGAGCCCAAAGAATGCTTTTCAAACCATTCTATAAGACAGGTTATTATTGTCATGCTCATTCTCTGCAACAGTGGAGCTTTGGCATAGGCCATGCAGTGTCCAGTGTGGGTGAACAGGGTAATGGTACCAGCAGCATTCTCAAAGGTTATCCTCTTTGCTCTTTCTTCATTTCCTCTCATGTGATGCCAAAATAAACCAAAACTGAATTTTGACAATGATCCCATACCAGCAGTATGAAACATACAACATCAATCCACAACCCAGAACCTTTATTAAAAGTGAGTAGCCCATTTTAAACATTTTGCTCGGTAAATAATCTGTCTTATCTCTACAATCTAACTCATAACCAGGCATAACATCCTAATGACTGGTAAAGTCAATTGAAAAAGCATGCTTTGATTAGGTTTAATGGAGGCTGGTAAAAAATAAGCCTTTCCATACAAATGAAAATGATTTTGCAAGTGAGCACAATTTGCTATAATGCAAATTTCAAGGCCATACTACATACACTGTGAAAAGAGTGCTTTAAAAAATTCTAAATTCATTAACTACTGATTTTAGTACATTAGACAGTAATAACAAGTTATTTGATTGACAGATCAATTTTCTCCACTTATTTTCCAAAATGATTGCAATTCTATTATCAATCAAAGTTAACTTCGGTTTTCTTGCAAATTTAACTCATAACTAATATGTGAATCACTATAGTGCCCATATAAGAAAATCATTTGTATCTTAATAAGGCTTCTAAAATAACTCCTACTCTTCTTGAAAATTAATTGCAAAGAATAACTGGTAATACTGTCTAACCTGTTGTGTAATGGTGCTCCACGGCTCTTGAAGAAGACGAGCTTTATAGAATTGATGGACACCATCCCATATCTCCTTCAGTGTTAAAGGCCTTCCATCTGTAAAATTTTATGTGACATTTTTGGTTAGTTCTTATATGATGTTCAGAGTATTTGTCTGCAAATACTGAAAGTTAGAATTAAATTCTTTGCCTATACAACACAACTATACATGTGGCATGCACATACATGACAAACACATACACATATACATATACTCAATAATAATTTGATTTTTGGATTTCAATGGAGTAGGGAACTCTCTTGAGGAAGTTCCCTCTGTCAATGAGAAAAAAAATCTATCAACTTCTCTCTAACCTATAGTCTCAGTGAGTTATCTGAGGCACCGAGAGGTAAATGACTTGCTTAAAATCACACAACCAATATTTATCAGAGGTAGTCACTCTGACTCTGAAGCTGTATCTCTATACACTCTTTCAAGATATTCCTCTTAATGATGTACATCAGCTAAAACAGTATCCGAATAACTACTTGCTAATGTTGTTTAAATATATGACTTCCCTTCTTCATATCACACCAGCAATTAAATTGGGACACCTGTGCCATAGTGCACAGGATGCTCAGTTCAAATCGAGCCTGAGAAACTTACTAGTTGTGTGACCCTGGGCAAGTCACTTACCCTGTCTGCCTCAGTTTCCTCATCTGTAAAATGAGCTGCAGAAGGAAACAGAAAACCACTCTAGTATCTTTTTGCCAAGAAAACCTCAAATGGGGTCACAAAGAGTCAGACACAACTGAAAACAATTGAACAACACTTAAATTATCTACTTGCTTATTGAATATTAATTGGTACAGCCTTCAGATATTTGGGAAAATAAGTAGAATCCAAAAATATTTTGGAGGGAATTTCTGAATGCAACTATTAAATTAGTAGCAGATCTATAGAGACAGATGCCTACATTCAGATACAAACATACCCTGTTCACAGGTCTATAGGAGACCTCTACACAACTTTAAAATCTTAGTATTTTCTCTTTTCCTTTAAAATCCAGTGCTCACACAAATCATGTATCCGTTTCAAAAAATATTATTCATTGGATGCCTACTCTGCAAGACACTGCGTTAGAAGCTATTGGGAATACAAAGATGAATATCTTGGTCCCTGCTATAAAGGAACTTTCAAACTAACAAGGAGATAAAAAAATGTACACAAAAAATTATAATGTAGTGAATGTGGCATGGTCCCTAAGTACTAATGGGGTTAAAAGGAGGACGAAAACGTTTCTGTCCTGGAGGAATTACAAAATCCCGGTGTCTAAAGACACCTCAGAGCTCATCCAGTCATAGCCCAGAAGGAACCCCCCTGACAACACCCTGCTGCCCATCTTCCACTAGCAGATCTTTGGCTTCAGTCAATAGATTAATAGGACATTTAGTTTTTTCACTTCCATACCACACTATTGTACAGTCCTTTAAAAAGCACAGGTCCTTTCATATTAACTATTATTTAGCTATGTCCTTCTCATTCCATACTTGTGCAAATGATTTTTTCAACCAAGTATGGGACTTTACATTTATTCCTATTAAATTTTATCTTACTAGATTTGAATACTCAGTATAGCCTGGTGAGATCTTTTGGGATTCCAATTCAGTCATTCAATGTGTTAGTTATCCCTTACAACTCTGTGTTCATCCAGAAAGTGAATAAACATACCATACCATCTATGCCTTTATCCAAGTCACTAATAAAAATATACTATTATCCAGCCTACACTTCTCCAATTCATTCATAAGGATATCTGAAGAAACTTTGTCAAATACCAGGTTGAAATACAGATATTTCCTTATTTCCAGCAAGGAAAAGAAATTTTGTTTAGCCTAAATTAATCTGTACCTTGAAGAGGCCATGCTATCTTTAATGATCATCACTTTCTTTTCTAAATGCACAGAAATCTTTAATAATATGTTCCAGAATTTTGCCAGGAATTAAAGTCAGGCTCACTTCTTTCTACAGGGCTCTGAACTTTCAGAACTTTCCAGTTCCATTTTCCATTAGCAGTTCTCCTTGTTTTTAATTCCGTGAAAATCATGCACCGCCCCCCCCAAGCCAAATACCCCTTGATACGCCCCCTCTCCCATTTTTCAGCTTCCTTTTATGTGGGGTCTTCCCCTTAGATTATAAACTCCCTAAGGGAGTTGCTTTTTTTCTTATTTATATCCCCAGCATTTAGCACAGTACCTGGAACACAGTTGGTGCTTAAGAAATATTTACGGGATCGAATTGTTGAATTCTGTGCTTCCAAAGTGGTGTGATCTGGGGAAAGATCTGTTCATTACGCTCCTATCTGAGTTTCACAAGTTGAGTCTACTGGCTTATGTCCAGTTGAGTTTTCGTAGACTGTTGCAGACATTGTTAGCCTAATGGAAGGTTCAGAGGGACTGAACTGCGAGCAGGCTCTCCTGCTCTTGGTCCCCTGCCCTGGTTATTGCACTGCAGGCATACATGCTGGGATAAAGGTTAGAACTGAGCAGTTGCTCTGCTCTTAGGCTCAGGGTCACACATCTAAATCTTTGGAATTTGCTCTGTGCTTAGTACTGAGCTAGGCCCCACATTTGCTTGTTACTGTTCCTCTCAGCCCTGGATCTGTGACCTGGAACTGAGTAATGGAAGACTGAGCTGCCAGATGACACTTGCTCTCACTCCCAGCACTAATTCAGGGGTCCCCTGGGGTCTCTTTCTGCCCCTTCCCCCTGCCCCGTGATCATTCTCAGCTTCCTCATTCCTAGATGTTGGAATGCTCCCTGCCTCTACCACATGCTCCTGGCCAGCCCTTGCCCCAGTGCTCACAGATCTCTCTGTTTTCCTAAGCTGCCCTGGGCTGGAAAAATGACTCACTGTGACTTTGTCTTGGCTTTCCCTTCAGAATTTAGTCTAGTGCATTTGTGCATTTTCTAGGTTGTTGTGGAGGAGGTATGCTGGGGAGCTGAGGCAAAAATGATTTCTCCTGCTCTGACATTTTGGTCTGCCTCCCCCCAGATGATTTTTTCCAACACATGGACAGAGCTTTACATTGGTTCCTATTAAGTTCCATCTTACTAGATCTGAATAATCATTGTCTGTTCAGATCTTTTTGGATTTCAATTCAGTCATTCAATGTGCCAGCTATTCCTTGAGGCCATCCAGAAGCTTATGATTTCCATCAAAGTAGCACCCCATCATCATTGGAATTCATCATGTATTCCATCTGTTCCTAACTTCATGATTCCTGACATTATTTTTATAAGACCATGACACTTCTTCTAATTATCCTCAGTCACCTTTGTTTGCTCCCATCTTCTCTACATATCTTTTAAAAATGTACATTGGTCAATGAGTTCCCTATAAACTAGTCCCTTTAACCAGCTCCCCTTTTTCTACCACAATGGACTGATTTCTACATTAATGTTTGTGCAGTTACAATTTTGACTTCAGCAGCATTGTTATCCCTCTTGAGCCAAATTCTAGGCTCCACACTATCCTTTCTGAATTCTACCCGATTTGTACACTCAAGGAGTTTCCATTCTGAGTAAGAATTCTCTTGATGACATACCCCAGAACGTTCATCCAGACTTCACCTGAAGACCTCTGGTGGGGGAAACCCACTACCTTCAGAGTGCTATTCCACTTCTGGATAACTCTACTTGTTAGGAGCTGTCCTTCTTTGGTACCGAAATCTGTGTCTCTGAGATTCCCATTATTCCAAGTTTAGCCCTCTGGGGCCAAGAAGAACAAGTCTTCTACATGATAGTCCTGCAAATATTTGAAGAAAGTAATCATGTTCTTTGCAAGTCTCCTCTTTGCCAAAAAGTCATTGCAGGTAGAGAACAGAAAGCAGAAGGGGAATTACTGAAAAGCTATTTGCTGTTCTAAATCCATTGCTGAAATGAAGGTGGGCTGCTCTGTTGGAATTTAAGCACTAAGTACTGCCACTTGCAAACTATTTCTCTAAGTAAAGATATGAGAATTCTATTAAATCAATAAATTTTAATGCATGCAATGCATTACATGCTTCAATATTTCAAGAGATTGATGTGGATATTCACTCCCAATCTATCTATGCCTGCCTATTCTGAGCAAATCTTGCCTATGTCTTCCTGTAAAGGAGTCTACCTAACATACTGGGGGCCTTCCTTGAGTTCTCTTGACACTGAGTAGATGCCAGTGGAGAATGTGGGCTGTCCATCTATTGTTCCTCTCTTTCCATATAACCAGCCCATTTTTGTCACTCATACATTTCCTTGATGACATCCTTTTCATCACTTCTTCATTGTTTACTAAACTCACCATGAGAAAATAACATGAAGAAAACATGTCAAATGGCTTCATCAGTAGCCTCAAAGACATTTATGTGGGTCAATGAATGCAAGGAGGTCTTCATGGCCAAAGAATTAATCATGTAGTAGCCAACCATATGCCCACATTTATTTAAAATTTACAAAGCCTTTTCCTCATAACAACTTTGTGACATGGGCAATCCAGGTATTATCATCTTTGTTGTACAAATGAGAAAACAGAGGTTCAAAAAGGTTTAATCACTTGCTCTTGACCATGGGACTGAAAAAGGATGGAAGTGGGGATAAACAAAGGTCTCTGATGTTTGAATCCAGGGCTATTCCTGTCCTCTGTCACACTCTCACTCACAGGGAACTGGAAATATAATAGAGTGATGTCATAGCTAGAGTGTGTCTCACTTTGTAACTGAAAATGTGAACTTTTCTTCCACCTTTATTTTCAATAAATAGCAAAAGAATATTTTGATACATTTTCAATAAGTATCTTCATCTTGGCATTTATCTGGCGGCAGGAGACCATTATCTTGTGATAAATAGTTTTATTCCATTGACATTTTCATGTCTGTAAAATGAACAAGATTTATTCATCCAATTAACATTTGAATGTCATGTTTAGCTACAAGTTAAAAACAAGCTGCCTTCCATCTTGGTGTTATATTATTTTCTGAACACATTTATAGAGTAGGGCCAAATTCTGCCCTTAAGACAAACACCGTACATCTTGAAAGTGTGTGTGTGTGTGTGAGAGAGAGAGACAGAGAGAGAGA